AAACAAAAGCCGGGCGTGGTGGCGCAAGCCTGTAATCCCAGCACTCGGGAGGCTGAGGCAGGAGGATCACTGTGAGTTCGAGACCAGCCTGGACTACATAGTGAGTTCCAGGTCAGTCTCAACTGCATAGTGAGACCCTGTCTCAAAAAAATAAAATAAAATAAAACAAGGATCTGGATTTTCTGGTTCTCCCTAAGTCCATCTGTGGGTTCAGCCCCGCTCTTGGTTTATTCTGCCTTCTTCCACATCCTGGCATCATCTTCCAGGAGGTGCCAAGATGGCTGCTTCATTCCGAGCATCAGTTTGGGGCTCACATAAGAGAAGCAGCCCATCCCCTTCCTGGGTGAACCTCTAAGAGTAGGAAACCCGCCCCAGCAGCATCCCTCCGATCTCATTGGCCAGCACTGCCCACCACTCAACCAATCCCTGGACAGAAGAATGAGACGGGTTGAGACCAGGATGAAGGTTGTCAGTCACGCGCACCCCTGGGTGGCTGGAAGGTTGAACTTTGTTCCGTTCTTTTGGGCGCTGTCTATAAATGTGCTGTACTAAATCTGGAATTTTCTTTTTTTTTTTTTTTTTTTGGTACTTAGAATTGAACCCAGGGTGATCACAGTGAGCCACAGCCCCAGTCTTTTTTGTTTATTTGTTTGTTTTAAGCAGAGTCTTGGTAAGACATCCAGGCTAGCCTTGAACTTGCGATCCTCCTGGCTCAGCCTCCCAGAGTGGTCAGATGACAGGCAGCTGGGGATGTACTTTTTAATAATTCAAAGGAGAGTAACAGAGAACATGAGAGAGAGACCGACGGATACCGAGAGAATCTCCAGCAACTGGAAAATCTAGAACAGCTGGTTCTGCCAGAATGTGCCAACCCCTCCTGGCAGACATGCAGGAAATCACAGACCACAGCAACAGCAAGGGAGGGGCGTGGTGACCCGCGCTGACCACCAAGGATCGTTGCAGATGCTGGGAAGGGTGAGGTGGAGGGCGGGGCTCGGGAGGCCCGGCAGGTCCCGGACCAAGGTCAGCAGCGTTGTCCCCGCTGCGGTCTGGCTACTGCTCCGGGCACTCTGTGAGGTGGACCCCGCAGCGCCACGTCCCGGGGAGGAAACTGAGGCTCACAGAAGTGAAGGAGCCACGGAGTCTGCGGCTGTTCCGTCCCCCTGGGCCGCGGTGGCACCCAAGGAGATTCGAAGTCCAGGTATCTCACCTGCCCCGACTTGGGGACAACATGGCGCCACTACCTCTGACCAGCTGACGACGCGCCCAGGACACACAGCGTGGGCTGACACCCCGCGCCCCAACCCCGAGCGCCCTTCCGCTGGGCCACACGTCACCAGGGCAGCCGGCCTGGCACCACCCAGCCCAGACCACCAGACCAGCACCCCCACCCCCATACACACTGCCGGAATGATGAGAGCAGCGGTCCCCATCTGTGCCAGGCAGCGTGATGGCCACTCAGCACGGGGCTGTAGTGAGCGGATGGAAGTTTGAGGAACTCAAATTGTTTCGTGCATTTGGTGGCGCACGCCTGTGATCTCAGCCCTCGGGAGGCTGAGGCAGGAGGATCACTGTGAGTTCAGGGTCAGCCCAGGCTACATAGTGAATTCCAGGTCAGTCTCAACTACATAGTGAGACCCTGTCTCCAAAAAAGCCCAGAATTACTTACCTAATTAATTAACATTATGTTTAAACAGCTGCTGTGGCTGAAGGCTACCGTATTAGACAGCTCAAGCGTGGACCCTCGGCCACCCAAGGTCCATCCCTGAGGAGCTCAAAGCCCTGCAGGGCACAGGGGCAGGTAAATATAATCCCAGTTTCTCTGGGCAGCTTCACCAGACCCTGTTCCCTGTCTCAAAAATTTAAAATAAAGAATAAAGGGCTGGGGGTGTAGCTCAGCACTCTAAATTCAATCTCCAATATTTGAGCGGGGTGGGGGGAGAAACAAGCATGATTGGTCCTTCCCACCTCCCCAGCCTCACACACACAAGGCGCGCACTCACACACACACTCACACACACACACACACACACTCACACACACACGCCTGGGCCGCCTGCTCTGCCCGCCAGGTGCCCAAGCCCGAGTCTTCAGCTTACTCAGCGCCCTTGGCCCCGGCTCACGTCTGCCTCTGCCTGCACTGCCGCACAGCCACCCCACCCCATCCGTCATCTGCCCCATTTCTGTGCTGTTCCAGGTCTCAGCTCAGCCATGGCCTCCTCCAGGAAGCCCTGCCAGCCTACCAGGCCCAGTAGGCAAACACTGGGCAGCTCCTGGCCGCTGCGATGACCCCTCTGCCTCAGGATCCTGAGCCCCCTAAGGACCGAGAGCCAGCAGGAGGGCTGTGCCATGCGAACGGGCATGGGGAACGTATGCTAGAATGGGTGATTGGATGCTTTTGAAAAAACTAAGAAGCCAGGTGTAGCGGTGCAGCCTGTAATCCCAGCACTCTGGGAGGCTGAGGCAGGAGGATCACAAGTTCAAGCTCAAGTTTAAGATCACAAGTTTAAACCTAGGTGATTTAGCAATTTAGCAAGATCCTGTCTCCTAATAAAAAATTAAAAGGCTGGGGATGTAGCTCAGGGCAAAAGCCCCAGGATCGATCCCTAGCACTAAAAGAAGAAAAAAAACAAGGAGATGCTGCAGAGTCAGCCAGAGCCCCACCTCTACCCCTGCCGGCCAGATGTGCCCATCTCCCTCAGTCTTAATCTCCCTGACTGTGAAATGGGCACTGTGCTGGGCAGCAGCTGCCAGGCGAGGTTGTACAGCGGAGGACTGCTCAGCCGGAGGCCTCTGTGACACTGGCTGTGAGCACCATCAACGACAGTCACGTTGAGTGGGAAGAAGAGGCTGAAGGGACCAAGGAGGATTCCCAGAAGCCAGCAAGTCCCCAGTCACCCTGGGAAACCGGTCCAGCCGGTGTCTGCGCTGCCAGCTGCCATCGCACACAGACCCAAGATGGAGACACCGGGGACCCAGAGCCGCTTCTCAATGGGACTCCTGCTGTCTGGTAAGAAGGGGACAACCCTGGAGGGCTGAGGGGGACAAGGGACTGAGCCTGTACAGAAGCTTCCCCAGAAGGAGGGGGAGACGTTGGGAAGAAGAAAAACCAGAGTAAGATGGGCGGGGCAGTAAAAACACCAGTTCGTCCTCTGTTTCTCCTTTGTTTGTTTTGTTTGTCTCTGTGACAGAGTCTACATAGATTAAATTGGTCTCAAAAAATAGAAAAAAAAGGGCCGGGGATTTAGCTCAGTAGCGTGGCCATCTGCCTCAAAAGCAAAAGGTCCCGAGTTCAATCCCCGGAACTGGAAAAAAAAAAAAATTGGTCTTGAACTCTCTATGTAGCCCAGGCTGGCCTCCAATGTGTGAGGATCCCCCTGCCTCAGCCTCCCAAGTGCTACCCATGGAGTTTTCTAGAATATCAGGACCGTGACGCCAGGAATGTATTTGGTTTCTGTTCTCTGCTGTATCCTGGTGCTGAGAAATCTAGGGAATTTTATGACATATATAGCACTGGTATCTTTGGTTGGTGTGGTAGTTCTTATTTGTATTGTAATATGTGATATATATTATATACATTAGAAGTATTGGTTGCATGGATGGATGGATGGATTCAGAGAAGCCAAGTATTTCAGGGCAGGCTGCTGGAGACCTCTATAGTCAGTTTCCAGTCCCCACCTGTCCAGTATACGATGCAGGCCTGAGAAAAAAATACGCTAAGAGACAGAACTAGGAGAGAGAAAGCCGGGTGCCGGGATGACCAGTGCCGGTGCAACTGACAGAGACGCTGGCCAGTCCGAGGCACTGACGTTTAGTGCCAGTCAGTCGGGGTAAAGGTGATGTGTGGTTTCTATGGAAATGAATATGAACTCAGAAAGGACAAGACAAAGCATTCTCGAATTAGGAGCAGAATAGACAAAATATATGATTGTAGGCAGACTTATCACTCTCTCAGATGTGGAGATGTGCACCTTTCACTGTGTGCTGAGTGAATAAAGTTGAATAGAAGCCTCGATTGACAGTGCCTTTTACCCAACCACATCACCGAACTATCTTTTCTATACAATCACCTCGTGTTCCATTCCTTTTTTCCCCCACCTTCTCGTACCATAAACAACTATGCAACTCTTTTGTTTGTTTGTCTTTTGTTTTTTGAGGCAGGGTCTCACTAGGTACATGAGACTGACCTGGAACTCACTATGTAGCCCAGGCTGGTCTCGAACTCACAGCGATCCTCCTGCCTCAGCCTCCTGAGTGCTAGGCTCACAGGCATGCGCCACTATGCCCGGCTATGCAATTTTGCTTTAGAAAGCCTCATTTAAGCCCATGTTATAGCAAGGGGAACAACTGAGCACCCATTCTCTGGCATACTACACCATGTAAACAATGACATTTATATTTCTCTCAGAAACTAATACTCATGATTCTAAATTTCAAACTAAATTTGTAAGAAATAAGCTCTTTTTATCCCTCAAACTAGTACAGTATCTTTAGCTTTACATACAGAAGTATCGTTGATGGGGTTTTAACGGTTAATTGTACACATTTAACAAAATATATAATTTTTTAAAGTTCAATACCATAATTAGCATTTATTCCCTTTCTCACTGTTGTTCACTCTATGTTATTTTAATTTTTCAAAATAAAAACTCAAGGCTGGGGATTTAGCTCAGTGGCACCGCCACCTGCCTCACAAGTGCAAGGTCCCGAGTTCGATCCCCAGTACCAAAAAATAATAATAATAATAAAATAAAATAAAACCCAACAAATTCAGTCTTGGAAGTTGGATACTAGTCAGCCAGCCAAGTGGAGATTGCGAGGGTACAGTTGGATACCTGTCTGGAGTCCAAGAGTGGGATGAGATGGTCGCTCAGGAGAAATCACGATATAGAGAGAACATCTAAAACCACAGGATAAGTCGGATAGGCGGCCCAGGTGAGCGCTGGTGAGAACTGTAAAGACGTGTTACCTTCATGTAAAGTGTGAAACAGGACCAGCATGCACTGAGTGCTCGCTAGCTGCTATTATTCATTGAAAAATGCCTTGTACATTAAATAGACATAGTTGGGTACTTAGCTTTCCTCGCTTAATGGAGTATCATCCACATGCTTGCTCTGCTTTGACACACTTCCTTTAATATCCCATTGGAAACACATAATTTTTTGTTTTTGTTTTTTACCGGGGATCAAACTCTGGAGGTCACACAACATTTCAGGGCAGAAGAATCTTCTGGATCAATGGGATGGCAAAATCTGTGGCGTCTGTACCTATTTTCCCACACCTGCACCCAGGGCAGACATCACTAATCAATCCCCACACTGCTCCCAACTCACAGTACTCAGAGTCCTTGCCCCAGATAAGGATCTACGGGGAGGAGAGTGCCCCCCATCTCAGGCTGTGCCCATAACTTCCTCTAGCCTCAGTCCTGGCCCTCTGGATGCCCCAAGGTGCCCAGGCAGCTCTCCACATCCAGAAGATTCCAGAGCAGCCTCAAAAGAACCAGGACCTCTTCCTGTCCGTCCAGGGTGTCCCTGGCACCTTCCAGGACTTTGTCTGGTACCTGGGGGAGGAGGCGGATGGAGGCACGAGGCTGTTCACCTACATCCCTGGGCTCCAGCGGCCCCAGAGGGACGGCAACGCTATGGGACAGAGGGACATCGTCGGCTTCCCCAACGGTTCCATGCTGCTGAGACACGCCCAGGCTTCCGACAGCGGCACCTACCAAGTCGCCATCACCGTCAACCCCTCCTGGACCATGAGGGCCAAGACTGAGGTCCGGGTGGCCGGTGAGTGTCAGGGGCCCAGGGAGGAGGTGGAAAAGCTAAGCGTTCGAGCCCCGGGACAAACCAGCTTTCACCCCATCCTCCCGCACTGACTGCATTCCCAGTTGGTCATTGTCTGTATTCTGAGGCAAGACTGGGCTGTGTTCCCCATTCTGGGCTCACACTTGTGATCCCCCTCCCAGCCTCCCAGGTTGCCGGCTCTATAGGCCTGGGCCACCATGTCTGACTTAGATTCGTACCCTCGGCACTCTGACATTTCCAACTAGTGAGTATTTTCGGAGCAGAGAGCTGCGCACTGAAGAGAGGGTGGGCAGCATCCACAGCCTCTGCTCTCTGGACACCAGCGGGGTCCTTCCTAGCGGTGACAACCAAAAACGTCTCCATGTTTGTCTCCCAGAGCAAAATCACCCGTTGAGAACCACTGCCCTCGATTCATTTATTTTTACCTTCAAACAACTTCCTATGCTGGGCATGGTGGTCCACACCGGTAATCCTTTCACTCCGGGAGGCTGAGGCAGGAGGATCGCCACAAGGACCAACCCAAACTATATAATGAGATCCTGTCTGACAGAAACAAAAAACTGCATGGGGAAGGCACCATCACTGTATACATTTTATAGATGGGGAAATTGAGGCACAGGGAGGTTGTGATTTTTCTCAGCAAAGAGAATGAAATAGGGTGATGTGATGTGGAAAAGGAAGCCAAACCAGGAGAAAGCATCCGATGAAGGGTGTGTTGTAGCCTGAATGTCTGCCCCATGCACATATTCACACCCTGAAATCCTGCCCCGGGCGATGGCATTTCAGGGCGGGGCCTGTTTCCTTTCTACCTCAGAGCAACAGCCCCAGCCCAAAAGATGGGGCCCTGGGAGATGCTCAGAGCTCTGGAGTGGGATCCGTGCCTTTGGAAAAAGGCCCACAGGATCAAGGCGACCCTGCTGTCCTGTGAGTCCCCAGTGAAAAGGCGGCAGCCAGGAAGAGGGTCCTCAGCAAGCCCCGTATCACAGACTCCCGGGCCTCTAGAGCCGGAAGTACATTTCTGTTGTTTCTAAGGCACCAGGTTCACGCGTGTTGTCATCGAAACCCTTCAGGGCAAGGCAAGAGGACACCTCACAGAGCTCCGGAGTGACTGAGTTCTGGGCAGAGGGAGAGCAGGGGCCAAGACCCTGAGGCCAGACTGGCCTGGCATGGTCAACACACAGACAGCAGGATGCTGTGGCCCCTAGGGCTGCTTGGGGCAGGGATGGGAGGCAAGATGTATGGGCACTGAGGCCAGGCTTGTGGGCTGTGCAGAGAATCGCTGATGCCTAGGAGTGTTCTGAGGACAGGCAGAGCCTGTTTAAAGGGCCTGTGGCAGGACATTGCAAGGCCCATGGGCTTAGCTGGCAGGAGGCCAGCATGCTTGGGCAGGAGAGCAAGAAAGAGCATCCCAGGACAGGTGTGGTGGCACACATCTGTAATAATATCAGCTATTCGCAGGCTGAGGCAGGAGAACTTCAAGTTCAAAGCTAGCCTGGGCAATTTAGTGAAACCCTATCTCCTTGTGCTATAAGATTTTTTTAAAGGGCTGGGGATATCGATCAGTGGTAAAACTCTTGCCTAAAATGTGTGAGGTCCTGGGTTCCAGACTCACAAAAAGGCAAAACACAGCCAGGTGTAGTGGTGCATGCCTGTGATCCTAGTGGGAGGCAGGAAGATTGAAGTGAGTTTAAGGCCAGCCTGAGGTACATAGTAAGTTCAAGGCCAACCTGAACTACATAGTTGAGACCCTGTCTCAAAACCCAACAAAATAAACAAATAAAAAGAATAAAAAGAAACCAGCTTCAGCCACACCGGGCTATTCACAGTCATGCCCACTGTGTTTGTTGTCCTGCAAGTCTGGTGGCAGTGACTCGGGGTCTTCAGGGACCCAGTACAGACTGCTCCGAGCCTTGGACTCCCAAGGCGCCTGACCACAGATCTGACTCCCCTTTCCTGAGCCCCACGTATCCTCTGTGCCGCTCAGCCGTGCAGGAGGACCCCATTTCACAGATGGGGTAACTGAGGCACAGAGCTTTGGTAGCTCGCTCGGACCAGCCAACAGAGAACAGCAGACGCAGGACTTGAACCCAGAGCCCACTCAGTAGGGTGCCTTCCACCTGCCTTGCCTTTCCTGTGCCAGCGAGCACTGACCGGGTGGTATCTGGGCTTCCTTTGGTCTTTAGGATTGAAGTGAGGCAGAAGGGGTGGGTGGGGAGCTCTGGGCCGGAAACAGGATCCCGCACATCATCAGGCCTCACGCGGGCCTCTCACCGCAGAGAAGCAGGAGGACCTGTCTGCTGCTGCCGCACACCTGCCTATGAACGCGGGCATCGTGGTGGCCGCCATCATGGGGCCCCTGGCCACGGGGGCCCTGCTCATCAGCGCCATCGTGTGGCTCCTGGTGATGAGAGCCCGCAGGGCCCAGAGCCCCAGGTACAGCGGCCCCGCAGAGGGAGGGAGGCGGGGAGGGAGGGACAGCGGCCGGCCCTGCCCGCCCTCCGACCCGCATCTCACTATCCTGCGGCGGCTCCTGCCGTGCGCCCCCCAGGGAGACGACCGCAGTGAAACCAGAGCTGAGCCCCCCACCTGACACCGGTAAGCGGGGGCCCGGGCCTCGCCCCCAGCCCTCTCCACGTCCCTGCCCTGCCCGAGCCAGGCCTCCCCGTCCCCCTTCAGACCCAGCCCCGAGCACACAGCACAGCAGCGCGGTGCCCCGACTGCTGCCTTTCCTCCCTCCTATCGCTCGGGAGCTCCTGTCCACCCCACAGGCCACAGCCAGCCCAGGGCCCCTGCACCCAGCCCCGCTGGCTCCAACGTCCTCTGCGTCTCCCCATTGCCCCAGGCTGAGCACAGCCTCCTCAGCGGCTTCCCAAGGCCCTGCACACCACCCTCGCCTGCTTTCCTGGCCTCCGGTCTCACCGGTGCCTCTCCTCCTCCTCCAGACCACGCCCAGCCCCCAGAGCCGGGCCAGCGGCGCTCTCCCCCGCAGGCCGCTCCTGGGCTCTCCCCTCTCTCCCGCCTTGAGGTTCGCTCCTCCTGGAAGTCCTCCCTGACCCCCGGGCTGCCCGGCTCCCTGAACACTCTGGGCTGTCACTGTCCTCCGTCACAGCGGACTGGGAGCCCCTGGCCACTGCCGTGTCCCCAGCGCATGGTCCAGCAGAAGGAGGGCCGAGTGAAGGGATCAGTGACTGTCACACGCTGTGTGGCACTGCCTGTTATCCGGTCCCTCCCCTTGTCCTCTGCTTCAGGTGACAACATCTATGAAGTGATGCCATCTCCAGACCCCCTGGTGTCCCCCCTCAGGGATGTGGGGACCCTGAACTCAGCCACAGTGAGTCTGATCACCACCCTCTTCCCTAAGCCAGCTTCCAACACTGGCCTCCTCTGAGTTGCTAGTGGCACCCTGGGGTGCCTTGGCACCTGGTTTGGAAACCATGTCTCCTTTCCTCTCCCCTCCCCCTCCCTCTCCCCTCCCCCCTTCTCCCCCACCTTTTTCTTTGCACGGTGGATCCAACTCAGGTCCTTGCAGGTCCTTGAGACTGAAAGAGCTAAATCCCCAGCCTTCCCCCACCATTTTTAAAACCCTAGGAAGAGGTTGAATGGCAGCCTTTGACACTGCCACAGCGCTGCTGGGAAGGGTGGATTTTCTCTCTTGTACGAAGCTGTCTCCTGCACTGAGCAGATTTTTTTCTCTTTATAATGGGGGCATTGTCACCAAAAAGAGGGAAGGATAGCAAGTAAGTTGTTGAAATCAAATAAAAAGAGAGCTTACCTTGCAAAGGCTAAGAGCTGACAACCCAGATGTTGCCAGGGAGGCCCAGCATTTGGGGGTGATCAGGCCACTGAGCTGTGAGCTAGTGCCCTTGTCTGGGGGGGACAGTGACGTGCTGGGAGGTGACTTCCTTTGCCCCAGGGCCTCACAGTCAGGGGTTGAGGAGCCAGGGGGGATTGGAGCGCAGGCCTGTTAATCCCAGAGGTCAAAGACTGGAGGGCCTCTAGGCAAGTGTGAGCACCTGTGAACAGCTATTCCAGAGGCTGAGGCAGGAGGATCACAAGTTTGACCCCATCCTGGGTAACTTAGCAACTTAGCAAGACCCTGTCTCAGAATAAAAATTAGGAAAGGCTGGGGAGGGTGGGGATTTAACTCAGTGGTTCCAGCACCTGCCCCGCAAGCGCAAGGACCTGAGTTCAATTCCCAGTACAAAAAAAAAGGAAAGAAAGGGCTGGGGATGTGGTTCCGTGCAAAGGCCTTGGGTTCAATGCCCAGCACCACAGAGGAAAAAAGAAAAGGAAAGAAAAACCACCGAAGGGCGGAGGGCTCCGTGCAGGGCTCAGCTGCGCTCTTCCCTTGCAGCGCCCCGCCCCGCCCCCACCCCGGCAGCCAGAGCCGGAGAACCATCACTACCAGGTGTGGGGGGACTCGGGGACCCCGGGCCCAGGGAGGGGCGGAGAGACCGACGCGGAGGGGGGCTGTCCTCACTCTCCCCACCGCCCCCAAACGGGGAGGTCGCAGCCTCCGGGGACACCCAGCCGGCACACAGGGATACAGTCACACAGCCCTTCAGTCCCCTCCCTCCCTGCCTCCCCCAACTCCAGTGGCTCTCTCCGCCCACAGGACCTGCTGAACCCCGACCCTGCCCCTTACTGCCAGCTGGTGCCCACATCCTCCTGAGGGCTCTGAGAGCCGTGGGGAGGGGGTGCTGCACGACAGACCCCTGAGTCAGGCAGGACGAGGCCCTCAGGATCCGGTGAGCTGGACGCGCCCACACTCCCAGAATCACGGAGGACAGGGTGCTGAGGGGACAGGGCAGCAACAGGCCCAGCTCCTCACGCAGCCTGTGGCCCAGGCCACAGCCCCACCTGGATACCCCGGGGGCCTCGGGGGCTCTCGTTGTCAGCCTTCCACCCGCTTCCTGGGGGACAGGTGGACCCAGACGACGCTCCCCGCAAACCACCTCAGCTGCTCCAGCCCCTGTCAAAATTCAGCCCCTCAGAACCCGCTGCCAGCTTCTGAGTATCACCACCCTGACTACCCCACCACCTCGGGGCAACAGTCCACTCTGCCTGTCCCGCCCCCGGTCCCAAGTGTGGGCTCCGCCTCAGCCTCCCAATTGCTGGGATCGTGCCCAGCGGGGTCCACTTTAAACTGGGACACCAGAGCTGTAACAATAAAATGGGTGTTGTTTTAAACCACTTCCTTGTGTCACTTTGTTGCAACTGCTGTAGGAAATACAAAAGATGAGGGAGAATTCGCAGGAGGGGAAGTCACAGCTCAGGCTGATCCAGCGTGAAGATGCCCAGCTGAAGGACATCTCCATCCCCAACCTCCCAAACAGCTGGGAACTGCCCAGGACCACCTCCTGGCTAAAATGGCCAATCGGGAGGACTCAGGGCTCCAGACTGTTCATTTTAACCCCAAAGAGACTCACATACCTCCCTTCTTCTGTACCAGCCACTGCTTATCAAACCTCGATACCCATTCTCTCCTTTTCCTTGGGGTTTTTAACCAGACAAGTGGCAGCCTACTATAACATAAAAACTACATTTCCCAGGTGTTCTTGCAGTTCTATGTGGTCAGGTGACTAACTGCAAGCCAATAGGGTGTGAGCAGAATCTATACAAGCAACTCATGAGTGGGGATCCCTCCTCTCCTGGTTCCCCTTTCCCTCGGGCTAGAGAACGGCACCTCATCTGTAGTTTTTATACGTGAGACCTGGTCTCCAAAAAGGGAAAAAAAGGAATTAAATCTCCGTAAAACTTGGGTTTTTGTTTGTTTGGTACTGAGGATTGAATGGGGAGGGGAGGATCTACCACTGAGCTACATCTGCAGCCCATTTTATTATTTTTTACTTTGAGACAGGATCTCACTAAGTTGTGCAGGCAGGACTCGAATTTGTGATCCTCCTGCCTCAGCCTCCTAAGCATCTGGGATTGTAAGCATGTGCCACCATGCCTGGCAATAAAACTTTTTTTTGTTTTGTTTTGTTTTTTGTTTTTTTGAGACAGGGTCTCACCATGTAGTTGAGACTGACCTGGAACTCACTATGTAGCCCTGGCTGGTCTCAAACTCACAGTGATCCTCCTGCCTCAGCCTCCCGAGTGATGGGATTACCGGGGTGCACCACCATGCCCCACTAATAAAACTTTTTTTTAACAAGAAAAGGAATTTGTAATCCCAGCACTCAGGAGGCTGAGGCAGGAGGATTGTCACAAGTTTGAGGTCAGCCTGGGCTGTATAGTGAAACCCATGTCTCAAAAAGACAAAAAATAAAATAAAATGAAGGCGAGAAAGGAAGGGGTAGGGATGGGGCCCGACCTATCTTGAGGAAGGTAGAAGGGTCTGCGAGCCAGTCTTGAGTCCCAGCCCCTGCTGGAAGGAAAGGGTAGCTGCAGGCCTGAGCCAGGGTGTGGGAGAGGAGACAGCTTGCTTTGAAGCCCCTGACGCCCTGACACCCAAGGTCACCTGGGTCCTCACCAGGAAGCCAGCAGGCCAGCTGGAGCCCATGATGGCCACCAGGGGGCGCCAGAGAAGTGCCTGGCCCTCAGACGGGCAGAGCCCAGAGCGGATCCACCAGGCCCCAGCCTCTGACCTGGCCCGCGGGTGCCCCCAGACAGCCTGTACCCAACCCTGGGCCAGGTCTGCTCCCTGCCTCAGCCTCCTGCCTGTCTCTCTGCCCCTCAGATCCCAGCACTAGTCCCAAGAGATTTTTCTAGAGCCCAGATTCGACCTGCCTGTTCCTGCTTGGAACCACCCACAGCTCCCCAATGCCCTGAGAAGCCAGGCTCCTCACCACAGCCTGCACCGAGTGAAGGTCAGGGTCCTGGGGCCTCACCTTCAGCCCCTCAGCCCCACTCTGTGATCTGCAGTCCACAGAAATAAACTGCTCCCTCCACCATCCCAACTTCAGGTTTCTGCATCCTCTGTCTTTCTGATCCCCAGGCTGCATGTGGCTCTCTTGCTCAGCCTCCTCATCCACCAGGCAGCCTCCGTGGAATCCCTGGCCTTGTTAATTGAGCAGCTACTGCACACCAAGCTCTGTTACATGAACCTGAGGACCAGAAACATGAAGGCAAATCAGAACAGCTCTCCTTGGAGAGCTCATGGCCAGGGGTTGGTGGGGGGGGGAATGACGTGACACCCCATGTAATAAGAATGGGTGATACACAGGTACTGCCCATATCACCCACTATGCCCTGTGCCAAGTGCCTTGTATTCATTAGCTGATCGTAGGCTCACAATAGTTCTATGAGGGAAGTACTGTGAGTGGCCCCATTTGAAAGATGAGGCAACTGAGGCAAAGAAAGGTTGGGGTCACGAGTTGAGGGGGTGGTGGAGAACTTCTGTAATTCCAGCATTTTGGAAGGCTGAGGCAGGAGGATCGTAAATTCAAGTCCAGTGCCATAGCAAGACCTTGTCTCAAGAAAGGAAGGGGAGGTGCACGGGATCTCAGTGGACAAGCTGGGAACAGGACCCCAATGTTTATCTTTTTCACTCCACTCGGATGTTGGGGTGCGGGGGTCCACCCTCTGGGGCGGGTATGAGGACAGCGCTGGCCCGCGGGGGTCGGGAGAAGAACTTCACGCGCTGCGTCGCACTGGGCCCAGTCAGCAGGAGACCAATGTCCCTGGCTGGACCGAAGTCCCGGGCCCCCAGGCTGTGCCCCCCCCCGCAAGATCTGCCCCACAGGGGCCTCCCTGCTTCCTGTCCACCGGCCCAGAACACCACCAGAGTCTCAGGGCTCCCCGGTTCTCGGAGCTGCGGCCCTGGGCTGGAAAATGAGGAAGTGGTGGGGAGGAAGAGGGCGGGCGGACCCAGAGTCATTACGGTTCACTGGGGAAAACCCTTCCCTTCCGGATCCAGCGCCTCTGTGTGCCAAAGGCCTTGCGCAAGCCAAGCCGCGGGCGCGTCCGAGCCTCCGGCCTCCCCACCCCCGCCCTCTGTGGTGTGCTTGCAGCCCTCGAGGGGGCGCAGTGGCGGCGTGGGTGGGCTGGCACCGTGTCTCTACCCGGACAGAGCTCTGGGGGGTCGCAGCGGGGCCCTTGGGTCGTGTGTGCAAGGCCCTGGGTTCCACCCCCAGCACTAATGCGAAAAAGAAAATTAAACCAGGCACGGAGGTGCACGCCTGTAATCCCAGCATTGGGGAAGCTGAGGCAAGAAGATCCCCTCTAGTTCGAAGCCAGCCTGGGGTCCATAGTGAGATCTTGTCTCAAAAGAAAAGAGAAAGAGGAAAGAAAGAAAGAAGAGGGCCGGGGATTTAGCTTAGCAATTCCGCTGCCTGCCTTGCAAGCGCAAGACCCGAGTTCGATCCCCTGTACCAAAAACAAAAGAAAGAAGTAAGGAAAGAAAGGAGCACTGCCATTTCTGAGGCCCCCGCAAGTCCAGGTACTGACTGGGCATTGGAAAACATAAGGCAGTATTAGCTTTAATTTCACTTTTTCAAGAAATAATGGTTTTGTGTCTGGTTTCCTTTGTTTCTTCAGTACTGGGATGGAACTCAGGACCTCACACATGCTGGGTGAGCATTCTACCACTGAGCTATGCTGCCAGACCTTTTTAATACTTTGCTTTGAGACAGGGTCTCACTAGGTTGCCCAGACTGACCTGAAACTCCTCACCCTCTTGCCTCAGCCTTCCAAGTAGATGCGATTACAGGCATGCACCACTCACTGTGCCTGACCCTAGTACACTTTTTAAAAAACGAGTCTAGATCTTTTGGAGATAGAGTCGGAAATCGGTACGGATAAAAAAGTGTGCAGTGGCTGGGATCTGCTTTCCAAATACCTCATCCATTGGACCAACCAGGGGTCACAAATGCTCGACAGAAAAGGTCAGGCCTGTGCAGAAAAGGAAGAGACATTTGTCTTTGCCATTGTTCCCTAGACAATACAGCAGAACGACTGGACACAGCAGGCGCTTGTGTTAGGGATCCTTAGCCACCCAGGAATGGGCTCGAGTGCATGGGAGGGCGGCCGTGGACCTGCGCAGTCGCCATCTGTCCGAGGAGGGACTTGAACATCCGGGGATTTCGATGTCTGCCGGGTCCTGAGCCAACGCCCTCTGGCCGTGCAGGGACCAGTGTACCCCAAGGGGGACTCACCCAGGGGCGACTGTGACCCCAGAGAAGGCAGCAGGCAAGACTGGCCTGAGCTGGGATGGGAGCCAGAGCAAGACAGTTCTCCCCCACGCTTCATGAGTGTGTGGTATTTCCCATAATAAAATCTTTTTTAATTGTTTTAACTGCCTCCCCTTTTCCCGCTGGGGTAAACGAAGCCAGGAGGAGGAGGAGGAGGACAGCTAGCCAGGTCCCATCCCAGGACCTTGCAGTCCCCAGAGAACCTGGCTGTTTCCCCCACCCCACACTGCCTTTTACTTCCTGCCCCCGCACCTTGTAGAACAGCCCAGCCTCCTGGGGCCCCTCAGCTCAGGCCTGGACCTTCCCTCAGTCCCCAGGCTGGGCCTTTCCATCGCCCAGACCAAGGTCAAGGGGCTGCCAGGAGCTGCGCGTGGTGACCCATGTCTGTAGTCCCAGCACACTGCAGGCTGAGGCAGGAAGATCTCTGTGAGTCCAGGCCAGCCTGTGCTACACAGTAACACCTGTTACGGGTTATTTTGTATTCGAAGTCCTGGTCCCTCCGTAACCATCTCCTCCTCCTACTGTCATTGGTCTCCAGCCTCCCTTGCACTCACCAAAGACCTCCTGCTACGGGGCCTTGGCACTTGCTGTGCCGTCTTCCCAAGGCCCCTCTGCCCCATATATCCATCCAGAGGTGCCCTGTCACTGCCCTCAGCCTCAGCTCCCCTTCAGCAAGGCCCCAACCTCCCTCCCTGAAGGAGCAGCCCCATCCCTGTCCTGTTGCCCAGTCGCTTATCTTGGCTGACCTGGCTGCTATCTCACTGTTTTATTGTTGCCTGTCTCCCTCCGAAAGGACGTAGCCCACAGGAAAGCAATAGTCTGTGGTCTGTGTCTCCAACACAGCTTGGCAAGGTGTCAGCGCTCAATAAATATTTGTTGAACAATTGAAAGACTCGGAAAGCCCCGGGCTAAGGACCTGCAGGTGGGGACTGGGCCACGCTCACTGCCTGCCTGCACCCTTTGCTCTGTCTGAGGTGAGGGGAGGGCACAGGGTCCTTTCTGTCCCAGCACAGCCAGGATCAACCCAGATCTGCCAGGTGGCCGGGTGGCC